ATTTGGTAATGTCACGTCAGTGTGTCTCCTTGACAACCAAGCAAATGTAATGGGGAATTTCAGCCAATGATTATAATTTTTGTGCGCCACCAATACCAAGCATTGAGCGCTCGTATACCCGATTCGATTTTATTACTCATCACGATCTCTATCAACCTGCCCTCAAATCTAATTATATGCCGAAAGTAACGCATCGTATGTTTTATATATATATATATATGGCCGGAAGAACTTTAAAAAAGACAAACTTGCTTATCACAAGAGAAAGCGTCGTCGTTTCTTACAAGTTGCGTGTCGATCCTTACTGCAACGGCCGAGATATCGGCGTGACAGACAGACGACTTTAGGTCTTTATATAGTAGATATCGCAATTCGCTAAAATTAGTTAGTATTAGTTTGATTAGTTTGTATGCCAAAACTTTTTAAAGTTCTATGAATGAATAAATAAATATGCATTTAATAACACATAAATCCATGAAAAAAAGGCAAAAGGCATTACCGACGCATAACTCCATGAAAAAAATAGAAAGTCATTACTAAGATATAGCTTCACGAATGAAATATTGAAGATCATTACATGAAAAAAAAGGTAGAATGTCATTATTGAGACATAACTTCCTAAGGAAAAAGCTGATCTATGCTGAAGTGACACTTTTTGTCACAATCCCTGTAGTTTAGGATATATCACGTTGAGGTATCAATTAAAAACATACTGCTTATAGTTTAATTTCCTATGTGACATTTTTATTTTTTTGATTTGTAGGCTACACCTATTTTAAAAACATTTGAATTAATACCATTTACAAAATTGTTTGTTTGTTTGAATTTCGCGCAAAGCTACACGAGGGCTATCTGCGCTAGCCGTCCCTAATTTAGCAGTGTAAGACTAGTCATCACCACCCACCACCAACTTTTGGGCTACTCTTTTACCAACGAATAGTGGGATTGACCGTCACATTATAACGCCCCCACGGCGAGCATGTTTGGTGGGACGGGGATGCGAACCCGCGACCCGCAGATTGCGAGTCGAGCATCTAACCACCTGGCCATGCCGGGCTTCTTTTACAACTTTAAAATAAGTTAGAAAAGATACTGGGACCTAAAGAACATTTATTTTTGTATTTGAATATTAAACCAAAACCATAGCTAAAATTAAAAACAATTAATTGGTGATTAATTACTCATTGAATTCAAATACAAAATATTTTTTTTTGTTTCCAGTATTTTTTCTTTATTTATTTCCACAACTTTTTTCAAAACATAAATTATTTACACATTCACAAACCCACTGATGTACCAAGCGCGGCCCAGTCGTTAGCATCCTGGACTGAGGATCCCCGTGAACGGCGAAACAAAACAAATCGCTCTAATGTCGTAGGTGCATTATAAGAGCAACAGTCAAATCTCATTATTCGATTAGAGTAACCCACGAGTTGGGTGTGGGTGATGTTAATAACTTAATAATGTCTATAACTTCAAAATTAGAGGCTTCTAGCGCAGATAACACTCGAGTAGCTTTTCACGAAATTCAACAACTCACTGTTACAATTATGTCTCTGCAGAGAGACATACTGTTTTTCTATTGTTTCTTCTTCTTTTTTTCCTCCAAACACTTTTCAATCGACCACCATTCCTTCATTTCTCAGCGAATTGACTTGAAGTTTGGTAGAGTTATACCTTTTTCCAATACGCCCAGATAATTTTTCCATTTTTTTATTTAGATCTTTTTAGGGATTTTATGGGGTCAAAGGTAAATCAACCCCAAAATGTATATTTGGGTTCATGTGCGGTCATATGTCCAGCAATCAATTTGAAAATTGGTAAACATATAAATTTTCATTCACCCAACACATTGCCTTATTAAAGTTGGATTTGCTCATTTTGAGTCTTTTTATGTGGGATCAGAGCTCAGAAAAAAAGCATAATTTTTGGGGTTTTTGATTAATTAGTCAGCCGTATTTTGATCAACTAACATGGAACTTGGTATAAAGGTACTTTTATACATGTTACACACATTGACATATAAAAATGGTGGACTTGCCAATTTTTAGTAATTATAGGGGCGTCAGGATGCCAGAAAAAGCATAATTATAGGGTTTTTTGACAATTACTCCACCCTATTTCGGCCAGTTTTACATAGGATTTGGTACAAAGATACATTTTTTACATGCCATACATATATATATATATATATACAATATGTGGGATATTCCCTTTTTTAGCCTGTTTAGGGGAGTCAAAAGGTTAAATAAATCCATAATTTTAGGGATTTTGTTCAATTACTTAGCCATGTTTCGGTCAATGTACATGAAAAGGCAACACACATTGAGAAACAAAAATATTGGACTTTTTCATTTTTATTAATTAAAGGGGGTCAAGTTGCCATAAAAAGCATAATTTTAGGGTTTTTAGACAATTATTCCACCGTATTTTGGCCAATTTACATGGGATTTGTTAAAAAGATACTTTTTACAGGTCCCAACCAAAGATATAGACAATTTCGGAAAGTTTGTTTTTTTCTCGATGCTTCACGTGTATTCAAACAATTTACATGGAATTTGGTACAAAGATACCTTCTTGCAGGTCCCAAGCAGTAATGTAGACAGTTTTCGATTTTTCAGGTGTTAAACTTGACCATGTTGGGATTGGGTGGCGGAGACATGTTCCATTCGCCCGCGAATTATGGCCTCTTTAATTTATTAATCGTACTATGATTCTGAAGAACTAACCTACTAATGTTATAATGTAATGTTAGATCTATACTTTATTATGTTAAATATTTGATATCTTCATTCTGCTTCAATTAGTTAATAATCATTATATTACTGAAGTAAAAATATCTTTATTAATCAGCAACTAACTTTGTTTTCCATTGTCTCAAATATAAAGGATATCTCCCCTCTTCAAAACTCTAAATCCACGATCTGAATATATCTTTAAGATCCGGATGTATGGAAAGAGCTATTACATACCCTTCCACTATATACGTAACACAAAACAACGTCAGATGTATTCCAGTAAAATGTTGCGGTTGTCACATATTCAAAATCGTTTTAATATATCGTACTCAAACCTTTGTATGAGGTTCTGAAAATCTGACAACCAAATTAAATATATGAGCAGCTTTCATACTCTGTTTTATTATCTTTCTAAATGTTTAGATACTGATAAATTGTAAGTTCTTTTGTGCATTGTATGTCTTTTTAAATGTGCATTATATAAATGACTTTGGGTTTTGAAACTGATGTCCATATATTACAATAATAAAGCTTCCAAATCTTTATTTAGTGTCTAAACACTCAATACATAAAAATTTGACCCAAGAGTTTCATGAGAAATGAACATTATGATGAACAAACCTGTTAGTTTCATGAAACTGACAAAACACATCAGGGATCATTAACAACATTAGAAAACCTACACAGAATTTTTATTTCATGAAAAATAACATTTAGAAGTTTGAAAACGTGATATTCGGAAGAAGATATTGGGGGTGGTAGGGGAGAAGCATTGTAGATGAAGCTTCACATCCTAATTATAATACTCTTGATTTTTTTAGATGTTTGAGAGCAGTGTTAATAGGAAATACTGTTTTTTATCATACATGAATAGCAAGTGATTTGTGGAGCAGATAACATTCAGTGAGAAGTGTTTTAGATCAACATGTAATAGGCATTGTTATAACACCCAATAAGGAGTATTGTAAATAACACATAGTAGGATTCCTAAGAATAGCCAACAATGAGTATTGTAAATAACACATAGTAGGATTCCTAAGAATAGCCAACAATGAGTATTGTAAGTAGCACTTGCAACAAGCTTAAAAAAATATTGGATAAAGAGTGCTGTAGATAACACGTGTAATACATTTCACTTAACCAGCCAATAAGGAAAGCTGTACATACCACGTGTAACATGATTCACAATAATCTACAATGAGCATAGCTTAGGTAGTACTTATAGCATGCTTCACAATAAGAGCCTATAAAGTATGAGTATTGAAATACATCAGGTTTTCATTTTTTCATTATTCGACAAACTCTTGAGGATGAAACTTAGGATATAATTAAAAAACAAAGATTTTAGCCAATCCGTTAACGATGTTTATTTCACTGCTGTATTTGGGGAGGATAGCAACGGTATTATGGCACATGTGATTAGCCAATGAGACGTTTCGTAATGGCCCCAGAGCGTTTGTTTTTATGAAGATGCTAATAATTCGATGTAAGGTGTTTGACATTGTGAAGGTTTGTTTGAATTCGAGCCACAGGGTAAGTGAGTCACAAGAACCACAAACCGTCTTATTATTAATTAGCTACTTAATCGGATCGTTAAGCATTAGAATAGATAAAGAAATGTTGCTATGTTTAAAATTTCCTCAATGTTTAATACTACATAGGTGTAATACGTAAGTATACGTTTTTCAACAATTTCATGCTTGTGACATACAATTTCATTGAATGATTACCAGTTTAGTTCATTTTCAAAATGAGTCTCTTATAAGCTGTTAAGACCTTCACTCAACATGTTTCTCATTTAAAAAAATTGAATCTGTTAAATCATTAGGAAGCAAAGAATATGTTCTTAAATTTCAGCTATGAGCTAATAATTCACTTCTGAATGGGAATAGAGTTGATATGCAGTACAAGTATACCCACAATAATAATGATCCATCTAGAAAATGATTCTCAATTTTATAAAGAATAACTTGATCATATTGACAGCTACCGCTTGGATGTTGTTGAAAGTTCATTTTTTCAATAGCAAAGGAAAATTAAACACGGCAAAGATCCCATTTCTCTTAGATAAAAGGTTTATAAAGAGTCTTAAACCACAGTTTCTCTGGACAGAGCAACCAGAAATCACAAGAAGAAAGTAGGACAAACGTCATCTTTCACCGAAGGTTTTATGCACCATTACACAGGACAGCATCCACAGCATTAGGGCCTGTTATTGTTAGTCCGAAGTTTGTCAAACACCTACTTGCTTGGCAGAGGACTTCCTTTTTGTCTTTGGAGGAAGGGGTGGCTCTTTGGGTTCCTTGCCGATCCCTTTTGGGGGCAGTGGAGGCTTCATCCGTGGATCCGGAATCTTACCCAGTTTTACATCATCATACATATCAGCATATAGCATGTCATCACTTATGTCTGGTCTGAAAGGCTAGAAAATTAAAGTAAAACAAAGAAAACATATTAAAACGAACTTCACAAGTTAAATTCAATAACAAATCAAAACAAATTGTTCTTTACGAGGCTTGAACTAATAGAAAAATACAAGAAACCTGTAAAACTAACTTCAGAAGTTAAAATTCATGACAAATCAAAACAAATAATTATTTGAGGGGCTTGGAATAATAGAGCCAAACAAGAAAAATGCAAAACGAATGTCACAGGTTATAATGCATGACAAATAAAAAAAACAGTCCTTTAAGATACTTTGAATAATAGAACAAAATAAAAAGAAACGTAAAACAACGTCACACGTTAAAATCCATGGCAAATCCAAACAAGTAGTTATCTAAGGTGCTTGGAATAATAGAGCAAGACAAAAAAAACTTAAAACAACGACACAAGTTAAAATACATGGCAAATCAAAATATACTCACGTGAGTTTTAACAGGTTACATATTACTCTAACATTCTAGACTCGCGTGAGTAATATGGAACCTGCTAAAACTTACGTGAGTCTAGAATGTTAGAGTAATTGGAACCTGTTAAAACTCACATAAGTCTAGAATGTTAGAGTAATATGGAACTTGTTAAAACACATGTGAGTCTGGAATTTTAGAGTAATGTGGAACCCGTTAAAAATCACATAAGACTGGAATATTAGAGTAATGTGGAACCTGTTAAAACTTACATAAGACTGGAATGTTATAGTAATTGTTTAAAACTCTCGTAAGATCAACATTTCACCCAACAGAAAAGTTTGTCATGAATACTTTATTTTAACAAACATCAGAATCTAAAATTATTCATCAAGTATGCAGGCAGCGTAAGTTACTTTGTTTTGTTTTTATTGGAATTAAAAGAATTGTGATAAGACAACATTGGATGTGGTATCCTGAAAAGGTCAAACACAATTATTCTTACAAAGTTTCTAATGTAAGAATATATGTAATAATTATTACGTTAAGAAGATTTCCCTTTCGAAATGACAACCTGCCATATTGCTTGCAAAAAGCTAGCTGTCGTTGGCTGACAAATGTTAAGAAGTTAGCTAACGTTTTCTTAGAAATGTTATGTTGAAAAGTTTGTTAACATTGGCTTACAAATGTTGTGTTAAGAAGTTAGGTAATGTTGGTTTGGTTTGTTTGGAATTTCGCGCAAAGCGACTACAATAGGGCTATCTTCGCTAACCGTCCCTAATTTAGTAAAAGACTAGAGGGAAGACAGCTAGTCATCACCACCCACTGCCAACTCTTGGGCTACTCTTTTACCAACGAATAGTAGGATTGACCGTCACATTATAACGCCCCCACGGCTGAAAGGGCGAGCATGTTTGGTGGGACGGGAATTTGAACCCACAGCCCGCAGATTGTGAGTCAAGCGCCCTAACCACCTGGTCATATCAGGCCCAGCTAACATTGGCTGATAAATGTTATGTTAATGTTAAATAATTTATAACAACTTCCCTTCAGAACAAGCTACCTACTTAGAATAAAAAAAAAAGAAAACCGATGTTCAATATAGTTAACTAAATATATTTTCTTACTCACCTACTTAACAAAAAAATAATGTAGAATGCATTGTTTAATCAGGTGGGCATAGTCGCTGTTAACAGTGTTTTCTGTCATTTCACAAGGTTAAGCCAGCTCGAGATTTTGGTTAGTTCTAAATCCATATGTTAAGCTAACAATGCAAAATAATTTCTATAATAAAATATTAATAATAAACAAGTTACATATCTTAAAACTAGATTATATGGAGTATTCCACCTAATACTGTTAATGAAAGTAATATTAAAGTAAGAATACCGTATACCTTACTTTCGGAACATACAAACTGTAGCTCTTATCTACAAGTGTGATCATAGAATCAATGTTCGTTGAAGAACACAATTATAAAAATGTATAATTTAAAGTAAGGAAGAATATGCTATAATATGTCAAACAATCTACATCTGCCTTAACCAATGCCGATAAGGGTCTTTCGTCTAATACCGAGGCTCATCAGGCCGGCTGAGATACGACAGACATAGTAGTGATCATTATTACACCATAAGAGTTGTTGTTTATGAAGCCCGGCATAGCCAAGTGGGTTGGACGCTCGACTCGCTATCTGTGGGACGCGGGTTCGCCATCCCACCAAACGTGGGGGCGTTATAATGTGACAATTCGTTGGTAAAAGATGGGTGGTGATGACTAGCTGCCTTCCCTCTAGTCTTACACTGTTAAATTAGGGGATGGTTGGCGTCAGGAAGGGTCCTGCCAACACCGAAAATAGCGACCTCGTATATATACGGGAAAAAGCTACGGAAGCAGAAGAATAACAGTTGTTGTTCATATATAGCACCTAGATCACTACTACCAGGCCTCATCAGGCAAGTAGGGATACGACATTATAAACAGAAGGTAACATAATCCTTCATAACAACCTTTTGTGACAAATGAAAACTATTAAACGGCTCAAACAGTGAATTTAGAGAAGCCTAACATCTGAGATAAACTGCTACGACACAAGTTACTGTTTAGCTGTAGAATTAAGTAGCAGGGCTTTACCAATACTACAACTAACAACTAAAGTTTATGATGATACAGAATAATAAATAAGAAATTAATGAAACACGTTAATAGTAAAAAAAAAGATAGCTATGAAATGAGTACTCTAACTGAAATATAGCTATGTTAAATATAATAAAAATAAATACAATATATTAAACATACCATGGTATATGTCTAACACATCTAATCCAACGTTAACTAATCTCTGTCACTTAGCAAAACACATACAGCAGGTAACATGAAGTAATAAATAAAGTTAAATCTTAAAGTTAATAAATAAAGTTCTGTAAAAAAAAACATGCTATAGGATTCGAGAAAATTACATAGAAAGGGAAGTTACTGGAATGGTAGATATGATAATTAAAGTAATTAGTAATAAGTATTTTTTAGACCGTATATGGAACTGATATACAGGAGGTAAAACTAATACTATTGATCAATACATCATAACGGCTCAGTAGTACCTTCAACAATATATATAAAATTAAAAATGTATACGTGAAAGGTTTGGAAAGGTCGTAGTGTTCTTTAAAGCATTTAAACCCATAATTTGTAGCAGGATTAATGTTGAAGTTCCCGCAAAATTGAATAAACTGAGTATTCAAATTGGCATATGAGAAACCTCGTTTACAAAAAAATGTGAGTGAGTTTACGAGCTTTGTCTAAGAAGTCTTGTAATGTGGAATAGATGCTGTGGTATCTAATAAACTTTGAGTAGTAAACATTGTAACATAAATTATTTGGAATAACTGTATTTGGAAATGGAAAATTTATAACTTCAAAGTTGAAAATTTCCTTT